TGTATTAAGTAAAGTTATACTGGTAGGATTTGAATATCCTTTTCAAGATAACAATGGTTATTTTAAGTTTCCAGTATAACTTATTTAATACATAAATTATGCACTTTATTTGTTTATGTTGATTTATGGTCATGATTTATCAGGTAATGTGAGTGTGGATCATTTGGGAATTTAGTATAGTGGCATCATCAAAATCTATCAAAGTTGGGTACTAACAAATCCGGAATGGAGGGGATAGTTTCAAGCTACTTTGATCAGCTATATTCTTTTAGTAGGACAGCCGCATGGCAAGAGGATTTGGAGGGTTTATTTGATTTTTCTAGCGTATCGCCGGAGTAGAATAGTAAGTTGATTTGGCCGATTAAACCGGAGGAAGTACAAATGGTAGTGTTTGGAATGCATCCCGATAAGGCACCGAGAGTGGATGGTATGAATCCTGCATTTTCTCAAGCTTATTGGGATATTGTTGGACTAGATATTACTAGGTTATGCTCACAAATTTTTTAATCTGATAGTTTTCCCCATGAGCTAAATGTTACTAATATTGTTTTAATTCCAAAAAAAAGGACAAACCGATGAATATGGGGAATTGGAGACCAATTGCATTGTGCAATGTTGTTAGTAGGACAATCGTAGTGTATCGAAAAAGTCAATTAAGCCCACCAACTAAAGAAACAGTCAATTAAACTCATCAACTATAGAAAAACAATCAAATTCGAAATCTAGAAGGTAAAAGTCCGGTTATTCGGTTATGTTCCTGATGTGGCACTTTCCTTTTCTTTTTAATTTTTTTTCCTTTTTCTTGTTCTTTTCTTTCTTTTTTTCCTCTTCCCGTTCTTTTCTTCCGCCCAACCCTCCTGTACGTAGGAACCCCTTCTTCTTCTTCTTGGATTTTTTCTTTCCTTCTCTCATTTCTTTTCACTCTTCTCTGCGGAGACAAGAATTAATCTCACCTTAACGTCTTTCTGCCTTCTTCATCAATCTGCCACATTGTGCTTCAAGTGAGAATTCCGGCGAAGAGGGCGACACAGAATCAGAGATCTTCACCTTCGTGTTGCGACGTCATTGGTGTCGGTCTTTGTTAGCGGAGACAAGAATTAGCTCGGGAAGGCTGCAGACGACGGCGAGGATGGCGGCTTGGCCGACGAGCTAAAGAATTTGGCGTACATCTGCTAAAAATCCGGCGATGATGGCAGCTTGGCTGAAGAGCTTTGAATTCTGGCGCTCATCTTGAAAACCTTCTGAGAGTATATCCTCTTGGGCCGAGGAGCTCTAAATTCCGAAGAATGTTGCACCGCAATGCTTGACCAAGGATGGCGGTTGAGTGACGTGTACCAAATTCGGCGTACGGATTCTACATCTCTGGCACACTGTCCGCTTGGCCAACGACGTTGCAGACATAGAAGAAAGGACTAAGAGAAAACAAAGGATAAAAAGAAGAAGGAAGAAGCTAATAAATTATAAATAAGTTGGGAAGAAAACAACGGAAGAAGAATGGCTATAGGAAGCAGGAGGAAGAAGAAAACGAAAATGAAGAACAAAATGAATATGGAAAAATTAAACTTGGATCGCCACGTCACTTCAGTGCCCAGGTAATCGGACGTATACCTATTAAATTTTGAATTTGATTGTTTTTCTAAAGTTGGTTGGTTTAATTGGGTGTTTTTTTAGTTTGAGGGCTTAATTGACTTTTTCGGTATACTTCGAGGGCCTATTTGATAGTTTTCCCTAATTTTTTTAAGTTCTAGCCAATCGTTTGAAGGGTATTTTGGATTCATTGGTTGGAGAAAATCAGAGTGCATTCATACCAGGTAATATTATGGTGACCTTTGAAACTCAACATTATCTAAAGCAAAGGGGGTATGGAAAAGAAGGTTTTTTTTTTTGCATTAAAGCGTGACATGAGCAAGGCGTATGATCGGGTGGATTGGGGATTTATACGCTTGATTATGATTCAGATGGGTTTTGATAGGAGGTGGATCAATATTATTATGAAATGTATTACAACAGTAAAGTACTATATTAAGTTTGATAGGGATTTACTTGGACCGATTACTCCATAAAGGGGGTTGCGTCAAGGAGACCCATTGTCTTCCTATCTATTCATACTTATGACGGAGGGGTTAAGTGCTTTGTTGAGACAGGCGGAAAGGAAAGGGGATATATGTGGTGTCGCTGTGTGCAAAAAAGCTCCACGAGTCTCTCATCTTCTTTTTGTTGATGACAACTTTCTTTCTTTCAGAGCTAACAGGTAGGAATGTGATGTTGTGAAAGGGATTTTGGAGGACTATGAACTGATGTTAGGACAAGCGGAAAATTTTAAAAAATCCAGTGATATGTTTAGTACAAATGTGGAGGCTGATACTAAGGATTATTTTTGTAATTCTTTGGGAGTAGTGTGTGAGAATAGTCCTTCACGGTATTTGTGGTTATCAGTTTTGATAGGGAAAAACAAAAACATAATTTTGAAATATTTGCGGGAGAGAATTGTTAGTCGTATTAAAAGTTGGAATAACATGTTTTTGTCCCGAGTTGGTCGGGCAGTGTTATAAAAAAATGTTATACATGCAATGCCTACATATGCGGTAAATGTTTTTCTTCTCCCACGGAAACTATGCGAGGAAATTGAGAAGCTTATGAACGGATATTGGTGGAAAGGGATAAAGTTTGACCAAAAGGGCCTTCGGTGGAGAAATTGGGGCACTTTGCTATGCTCGCGAAGCAAGCGTGGAGACTTACTACTATACGGATGGAAAGAGTTTGGTGAGTCAGGTTTTTTAAAGCAAGGTTTTCTTTTTCTCTTAAAAAACCTCCTTTTTGGAAGCGCAAATAGGATGCAATCTCTCTTATGTATGGCGTAGTATGTTGGAAGCACAACAGATTGTATAGGAGAATATCCGAAGAAGAGTGGCTAATGAGATAAATACTCAGGTTTGGGCTGATGCATGGCTTCCGGGGTTGGGGCCGGGGCGGGTGCAGTCCAGTACCTCCTGGAATTCTTGATATGAAGGTTGCCTATTTATGGGATGAGGAAGGAAAACAATGGAATGTGAGGAGAGTGGTAGGTTATGGACGGGTCTCTTCCCACGTTGATCAACTTAAGCAAGCGTGGAGTGCAAGTACCTTTGGAGTGAAAATGTGCAACAGAGAAGAGGAGTCTGTCGATCTTGTTTTTCGTTTATGTTCTCAAGCTCAGGCAGTCTGACAGCTAGCTAGTGATTATTTCAGCCCTGCTGCAGACAGTTTGGAAGGCTGGGTGCAAGCAGTCCTTGGGAATGTAGTGGGCGAGAGATGGGGCATGTTTATAATCATCATTTGGATCCTATGGAAGCGGATAAACTTGACAGTGTGGAAGGAGGAATTTCAGGGGCTGCAACAGTGCTACGGGCTGCAGACAGCATGCTGAAAACCTGGGAGGATGCACAAAAATTGAAAGTGGTAGCTAGACAAGTTCCGGTAAGTGAAAACACGGCTTGGCAGAAATCGCAACAGGGGTATATCAAAATTAATATTGATGTGGCAGTTAATGAGATGGAGGGAGTTAGAGCGTGGGGATGGGTTGCCTGCAATGACCAGGGAACTTTCATAAAAGTTGTTAATGAGTCTAAAAAGGTGGATTGGCCCCTGCCGAAACTGAGGTGGTGGGAATCAGGGAAGCTATTTCTGGGGCAACTAAGGAAGGATGGGATCATGTTGAATTTGAATCTAACGCCCTCAATATAGTAACGGTGTGTTGGGTGAAGAAGGTTTGTCGTACCTTGATCTTCTTATGGATGATGTCCGGTTTTGTGGGATACAAAGAGAAAGTTTAATCTCTTTTGGTAAACGGACTGCGAATCGAGTTGCCCACGCTTTAGCAAGGCAAGACGTTTTAATCTCAGACCAGAAATGTAGCTATGATGTTATTCATCATTTTCTTGTAAGCCAGTTGGCAAACGATATGCTTGTTTAATGATATGAGGTCATTTTTATTAAAAAAAAATCTATTTTCATTAAGTTACATCACCAATAAAAGTTATGAATTAATATAGGCCCAAAATGTCTAATGTGGACAAAACTATTTACTAGCACTTAATTCGATAGAGGCAGAGATGAATTTTTGGTGCACATTATGCCACACAGGGGTGGAGGTAGGGGGCAACCGGCCCAAGCCCACCCCAGTTTTAAAAATTCTTTGTAGTTTTAATGTAAAAATTTATCTGAAATTTTTTTTTGTACCGGCTCACTCCAATCTTCGATCCCGACTACGCCCCTGATGTCACACAAAACATTTTTGTGATGCCAATATTACTCTTTAATTGGTATCATATGCATAACTTTTCTTTTTTTATGGAAAAATAACTTTAAATAATACAAACTATCATCCATGAACCAATAATAATACAAACTTTGAAAATGACTTTTAATAATACCAACTATTTGAATGTCAAACAAAAATGATATGGACTCATTTTTTTGACAAAAAAAACCGATCATTTAAGACATCAAAAGCTAATGTCAAGCCATCAAGTTAATAAATGATATTTGGAAATATATTCACTAATTAGATATTTTCATACAAGTTTTTGATGAGTTAAATAGTTGAATTTTTAGTAAAAAATGCTCTATATCACTTTTGGTCTATATTTATATAGTTGATATTATTAAAACTTATTTTCAAAGTACGTATTATTCTTGGTTCACGAAAGGTAGTTTGTATTATTTAAAGTTATTTTCTACTTTTTTATTAGTCTATATTTATGAAATCCGGGTGAATAAGTTTTTAGATTAAATTTAATCCATTTATACTCCGTACCATTTAAGTTTTTCTTGTGTTTGGTCAGCATTATTAACTAGAGAAAGTGAATTTTTGTTTATTCACATCCTAGTATTTTGAAAATGGTGTAATGTGACTGTTTAATCAAAATGAATAAATAAAGATGTAGGGGAGTACATAAAAACTTCCTAGCTTTACTTATTTGCAGTTTGTTTTAAAGAATGTTATTTTAATATGTGAATAGGTGTTGCTTTCGGGAGGAGCGGATACGACCATGGTTATGCTTACATGGGCTATGTCGTTAATAATGAACAACCCTCATGTGTTAAAGACGGCACAAGAAGAGCTAGACAAGGTGGTGGGCAAGGAAAGAAGGGTTAACGAATCAGACATCAATAGTTTGGTATACCTCCAAGCCATAGTCAAAGAAACTTTAAGATTGTACCCCGGTGGGCCTCTAGGAGGGCCAAGGTTGTTTAGAGAGGATTGTACCATACAAGGTCTTCATGTCCCAAAAGGCACTTGGCTTTATATAAATGTTTGGAAGCTCCAACGGGACCCACATGTTTGGTTTGATCCTGATGAGTTCAAACCAGAGAGGTTTGTTCTCAATAATAGTCACAAGTGGAACAACGATTTCGAGTTGTTCGCGTTTGGTGCTGGTAGAAAAGTGTGTCCAGGCATTACAGTTGGTCTGTTGATGTTGCATTTGGTGCTGGCTAATTTGTTGCATTTCTTTGATCTCTCAACAGATGCTCCAATTGACATGAGTGAGAGTTTTGGACTAACAAACCTTAAAGCTACCCCCCTTGAGATTTTAATTTCTCCCCGCCTCTCTTCTTCTTTGTATTAGTCATTCTTATGACACCGTCCCCACCAGTATCCATAACTAAACCTGAATAAAAAGTATTTCTTTTTTATTTGAATAATCATGAATAATACTATCAAGTCTTCTTGACCGATGATATGTACTCTAGATGTGAAGTTGTAACAAAAGGTGGGTTTGAAGTTTCCATGAACATGAAAAGATTAAGACACTAAGATGAATGAATTATGAGGTAAATAAATATATTGAGATGAATATTTTGTTTTGCTAATTTCCAGTTAAATGAAATGCTAGTTGATCACGATGGTTACTAAAACTATCATCTATTGAATGCTTAATCGTTGAGTATTTCCAATTTATTTTGAATAGATATTAATAACGGGATGTGTTTTTTTTAATAATCCTTACTATTTAGTCAATGTAGAACAAGCGTTTTATATTGACGCGATAATAGCAATATAAATCCTCCTACTACTACCACTGCCACTATCACCACCACCACCACGACTACTACTACTACTACTTTTAATAGGAAATCATATAGTGAAGACGGTTAAGGAAAAAAGTAGTTGACTTCTATTTATGAAATATAGAGCATATTGTCCAATTTTGGAGAATAACAACATTTTACTCTTATTTTATATGGATGAAGATCAATATTTATATGGGTAATTCTATTTACACTCCCATAATTACTAATCACAGCCCCCAAAATTAATAAAATATCTATATTACCCTTTCACCTAAATAAACCCCTCCCCTGCTTGTGGAGCCTCCACTAGTTCCGACTGAAAGCTGGTATGAAAACGTCACCACACAAAGCCATTCAAGCTGGTGCACTGGTTCTCCGCGTGAGAACAAAGCCCAAGAGGAGGGTGATCTGATCGTCAGATTTGGCGCCTATTGGGAGACCAGGCCGCTTTGCCGGAGTGGCGGCCGGTGAGAGAATGAGAAATTGCCACCAGTCTCAAGTTTCTCAAGAGAGAGAAGAAAAAATCAACCATGACCAAAGAGGGAAAACCTCTTAGCGATTGAGGAAAAACTCTTGCCCAGGCAACGCTGTAGAAAATGACCATCCCCTACTATGGCGAGTTGTTGTTCAACGGATGTCTACTTTGAAATGCCGAGAACATGACTGAACGGTGTCTGATTTTGGGCATCACATGGGTCATCATCATTGTCCAACGAAAGGAACAGTGCTCTTGGGGATTGCATCGATGTGCTTGAATTCAGTGCAAAGCTTCAAGCAATAGGAGTAGAGGTGGACATGATCGTAGCAGTTTGATATGATGAACCCTATAAATTGCTGAGATGAGTACCAAGACGGAGACTGTAAAGAGCAGTGGGGCGGACGATGATGGCAGCGACCGGTGTTGTAGCTCTTTTGATTTTTAGGCGTTTCCATCACTCATTTTAAGAAGCGCAAATTGGGAATTACATAAATAAGTGTGTGTGTTTAGTAAAAATGGGGCTGTATATAGAATTACCGTATTTATATAGGCTCAATATAAGCATTGTTGGGTTAATGGACCAATTAGAGGAATGGCCCATATAACCCCTCTGTGGATGGTCGTCCAAGCCCAATGAGTCTATGTGGGTAGAGACGAACGTCTCCCCAACCCGTAGCAGTTACACCTCCAGGCACAAGACAGACACGACGAACGTCGCCGCACCTTGTCTAGGGCCACAGGAGATAAAGCTCAAGGCTAACCAACACACTCTTACACAAGGGCCAGAAGACGTACGGCTCGCAACCCTTTGCAGATATTACGAAGGGCAAATCCCAGGTTCAAGAGGACGCTCGTCTCCATGAATAGGCGGGAAACCAAGATCTTGGCGGGAAGCGCATTTAATGCTAGAGATTTGATGGTTGGGGCTTTAGCCAGCTATAGCTCTCTGCGTCAGCATATTCAACTACTCCTTGGTTGTATAAATAGTAACATTTATTTCATTGTAAGGGGTTAACAACTTACCCGACTTAGCTTACTAGCATTCGTTCTGCTCTTAGCTTATTACTCACAGCTCTTCTACAGTCTACTTGAGTGTGAGACGAACGGTCGCTGGCCTTAGCATAGTGCAATGTAACAAGGAGTTATTAGACTTAATAATACTCGGCCCACTATCGCATATATACTCTTAGCCCATCTTACTTGCTCGCATCCCATATTCACACACACTCTTCCATTCGAAATACTTGGGCTTACGTTTTGGGCTCACGGGTTGAAGGAATAAACCTGAACAAGCATCATATCAAATCAATTTGTTTTTGAGAAATATGACTCCCTAAGGCTAACCGCAACCCGGTTCCGTCAATAAACTAAATCCCCACTAGTTTATACGTATTTAGTATGTCAATTCAATTTTTACTGCAATCCTGCACCGTCAATATATTTAGCCATCAAAGTTTTTCTCTATTTAAAACCTTTATTTTATTATTATAAATTAATTTTTTGTTAATCTTTTTTGCGAATAATTATTATATCAAAAGACGAACATTTCGATGTAAAAATAAATAAATTTGGAAGTATTTATATTTTTAAAAATAGTTCCAATACTCTTATGAAATTATGTATAAAGACCCAATACTTACATGACACATATTAGTGAGTATCATTATCGAATGCCTATTAGATTTGCGAATACGAGGTCGAGCTCAAAGTATTGGTGCACCATACCATTTAACAAACATACGAAAATAAGAATAGTAGATTCATAGGAGATAACTCCCCTTAGGGAATAATTTATTGGCACGAGCATATTATTGCTCTTAGACAACATTTAAATCCTACAACGTATTTAGGATAATTTATCACTGTTAATCTTATTTCAATAAAAAAATTATGGTAAAACTGGGCTTTGACGAGAAGTGGATTAATATGATCTTACAGTGTGTGTCCTCTGTGTCATATTCCATTCCGTTTGACAGTAGTGTTATTGGTCCTATTTTTCCAAAGAGAGGTTTGAGGCAAGGGGATCCCCTCTCACCATACTTATTTATTTTAGTGACAGAAGGTTTGAGTGCGTTAATTCAAGAGCAAGAAGCAATGGGACGCATATGCGGAGTAGCTGTGGCAAAAAAGGCTCCTAAAATTTCCCATTTGTTATTCGCTGATGATAGCTATTTATTTTTTAGGGCGCGACCGCAAGAATGTCAGGTGATCAAGGACATTTTAAGGAGGTATGAATTATCTTCGGGTCAGATTGTTAATTTTGACAAATCATGTGTTTCTTTCAGTACTAATGTGAAGGATGAGTTACGTGAGACTTTACATTCGATCCTGGCGGTTAATCAGGAGCTAAACACAGGGAGGTATTTGGGCCTCCCGGCTTTAGTTGGGAGGAAGAAGAAAGAAATTTTACTGTATCTCAAAGAGAGGGTTCTAAAACGCCTTCAAAACTGGAATAATCAATTCTTGTCGAGGGCTGGGAGGGAAGTCTTGTTGAAAACAGTTGTTCAGGCTATGCCCACATACGCAATGAATGTTTTCTTGCTGCCGGAGGAGCTAAGTACTGAGATAGAGAGACTCATGAATGGGTATTGGTGGAAGGGTAATGATTTTTCAAGAAAAGGAATAAGGTGGAGAAGATGGAGAGCTTTGAGCGTACCAAAAGCTCAGGGTGGTTTGGGCTTTAAATGTTTAAAAGACTTTAATTTGGCCATGTTGGGTAAGCAAGGTTGGAAGCTACTTACTGAACCGGAAAAGATGGTTGGGAGGGTATTGAAAGCGAAGTACTGCCCCCAATGCACTTTCGCTGAAGCAAAATTAGGGGGTAACCCGTCTTACGTTTGGCGGAGTATTTTAGCAGCTCAAGGGGTTGTTATGGCAGGTGTGTGACGGAGGGTGGGAAATGGAAGGGATATTTCAGTTTGGAAAGATCGGTGGCTGCCTGGCAAGGGGTCTGGGAGGGTTCACTCTAACCGACCAGAAGGTATTCTAGACATGAATGTAGCGGCTTTATTAAACGAAGACGGAAAATCGTGGAACGCTATGCGTGTCGATGCTTTATTTGCTGAAGAGGAAGCTTCTATCATTAAAAGCATTCCGCTAAGTTTGCATCCGGGCAAGGATAGTTACTACTGGAATGATGAACTGATATTCGTGTAATTTCCGATTGTATGTTTGTATTTTTAACTAGTTTTTATTAGTTCTAGTTGTGGAAATTACACACTTTTGGTGTAATATTTTATTTTCATTTTTATTTGTAATTTGTTTAGATTAGGATTATTCTGAGCTAAACAGGTCAAAGATCATCCAAGGGATCAAGATTGGACCTTAAAAGATCAAGGAAAGTGCAAGGAGACAAGAAAGATTTCGATTTGGAAAAAATACTCATGTACCCGGTCGGGTATTGCCTATACCCGATCGGGTATTCGCTTGATTCGATTGTCCAAATCAAATCCGGGAACAAATGATCGTGGGAGCAAATTTTCGTGAAGATTTGTCACATACCCGATCGGGTATGCCGACATACCCGATCGGGTATGCCCAGAAAAGTGACTTTCTGGGCAATTTCCTGAGATACCCGGTCGGGTATCAGACCCCGCAGCTCCCAAAAGCCTATAAATACACCCCTTTCCTTCACAATAAAATCACCAATTCACATATACTCTTTAGCTCAGTTTAGATTAGTGTTTTCTTTATATTTTCTATCATGTTTAGTCTCCAAATGAGGAGCTAAACTCTTCCATCTTGGTTTTGCTACTTTGAAGCTTAATGAATTTGTAAGTTGTGAGTTATTCTCTTTAATCTTCTTCCATGAATATTAATTCTTCCTTTAAATACTATTTCTATATTAATGTTGGGGAGTGTTACTAAGATGACAATTAGTTAACATCTTGACATTAGTTATAGTAATAGTTATTTCTTCCTCTACGTTAATATCGGGGAGTGTTACTAAGATGACAATTAGTTAACATCTTGATATTAACTATAGTAGGATTCATCTTCTTTAATATTCTTTCTTGAGTATTAATTAATTCCTATTCATATTTCATATTAATATTTTGAACATTACTTAAAGGATCAACTAGTTTTGTTTCATATATTAATTAATACTAGAATCGGTCGATTAATACGCTTGTTATTAATTCGGTCCTTTCACGGTAGTAAACTTGGATTATTAATGCATGCATCTCATGGTTAATAATCTAAGGGGAATTAATTACATTGATTAACCAATAAACCGCCTGTGTTGAGGTTATCAATCTCAATCGTTTTCATCTTAAGTTTATTGCTACTATCAAGTTAATATATGGCGCTTGTTCTATATTGACTCGATAGTAAGTTTTATTAACGAACGCGTCTCGTTATTAATA